TGGCCAGGGTCAACGGCGGCGTGGTGTATTCCGCAAATATGGCCGACTGTGAGGGCGGGCACAAGCCGGCGTGAGTAGGTTAAACGTTGAGTTTTATAAGGGCACCACAGGGTGACCAGCCCCTCCCCACCCAGCCCCACCCTCCCCACCAAGCCCCTCCCCACCCTCCCCACCCAGCCCCTCCCCACCCTCCCCACCCTTCCCTCCCCACCCAGTCCCTCCCTCTCCTCTCCACCCAGCCCCACCCCTCCCATTTTTGGATGCACGACGGACGGACACAATAATCCCCTGTGGGCTGGTGGAACCAGGAGGTTCCTACCAGTAACATGTTGTGGACGTGAGGCTGGTGCCGTTGTACAACGTTGCCTCCCGTCTTGGTGGCAAATGTCTGATGGAATGCATAAACATCCAACCTTAAATCGCAAAACACAAACAGAACATCAAACAAAAATGTTCTGCATGAGACGTAAATGCCTATGATTGTGAATTATTCACGTGAACACTTCCAGCAGCCCTGCCTGCCGCAACCACCAAAGAGAAATGTCCCCCGTATAGCCTCAACAGATGCTCGTGGCAAGTGCCGTTCGCGAGCACCAATTAAGGCCGACAAGGCACACGAAGGTGTGGGTGGCCAGCACCACGCCCGGCCGCCTTTGTCTCCCCAGTGGCGATGTTTACTACACACCGCACCAGGTACTTATTTGAGGCCGAGTCGACCTAGGGGAGGCCCAGGACCGGCTCAGATATAATCGTCACCGGTGTTGGTGGCCGTGAGCGGGGAATCGAAGTCGTCTCGCCGGCAGCTGCCAGGGCCGAATTCGGCCACGGGCTTCAGGGCCATACTCGAGGGCCTTCAGAGATGAAGTGAAAAGTTATTTCACTTGTGAATGCTGAATTTTATTTGTTGTTAGCCTCATAAAAAAAAATATTTGTTTTAACTTTGTTTTCCTTTGGGAAATATGACCCAGGTGCCGACAAAATCTTAACCCGGCCCTGACCTCCTGCACCACCGCCCCAGCCACCAAGCCCCATGCCTCGCGCAGGCACCGGTGGTCAACATCTCTCCCTGCCGGTAGATCTTCGGTATACCGGAGTGTCGAGGCATTCGCCATCGAGCCCCGGGGTGGCGGGGGGGGGCTGTATGTTGAGGAATGTTTAAAAAGGGCCCTCGTGGCTCAGGTGGTCCCTGCATGGCCGTACTAACTTCATGTCGTACTAACTCCATGACGTACTAACTCCATGACGTACTAACTCCATGCCGTACTAACTCCATGCCGTACTAACTCAATGTCGTACTAACTCCAAGGCGTACTAACTCCATGTCGTACTAACTCCAAGGCGTACTAACTCCATGCCGTACTAACTCCATGCCGTACTAACTCCATGCCGTACTAACTCCATGTCGTACTAACTCCAAGGCGTACTAACTCCATGCCGTACTAACTCCATGACGTACTAACTCCATGCCGTACTAACTCCATGCCGTACTAACTCCATGCCGTACTAACTCCATGACGTACTAACTCCATGACGTACTAACTTCATGCCGTACTAACTCCATGCCGTACTAACTCCATGACGTACTAACTTCATGCTGTACTAACTCCATGTCGTACTAACCCCATGCCGTACTTACTCCATGCCGTATTAACTCCATGCCGTAATAACTCCATGGCCGTACTAACTTCGTGGCTTCAGAACGCAGAGGTATCTTTTGAAACCGAGGTGTGCACGTACAAGTGTAAAAGCAAACATAGGCACAACTCCACTCTGTCTCCGCATAATAACGATGCGTTTTAGTCCATCAGCTCGAAGGTGTTGGCGTTCCAGATCAATATTGTCCAGCGGCCTTTGTTAATGCAAGCAACGTCTGGGCTGATTTTGACCATCTGGGTCTCAGCAGCAAAATCGGGCATTGTTTTTTCTAAAATGCTGCTGAATTGCCACATGTTATCGGCAAGACTCCATCCAGATGGACGAAATCGCGAGACCCGTGCAACATAAAGAACCAACGCCTCATCACTGCTGGCCACCGACCCTCTCGTGTGCCATGCCGACCTTCATAGGTGGTACTCGCTAACAACACTAGCCCCAACCCCTATCACTACCCCAACCCCTATCACTACCCCAACCCCGATCACCACCTCTATCACTACCCCTACCTCTATCACTACCCCAACCTCTATCACCACCCCAACCCCTATCACTACCCCTATCACTACCCCAACCCCTATCACCACCCCAACCCCTATCACCACCCCAACCCCTATCACCACCCCAACCCCTATCACTACCCCTATCACTACCCCAACCCCTATCACCACCCCAACCCCTATCACCACCCCAACCCCTATCACCACCCCAACCCCTATCACTACCCCTATCACTACCCCTATCACTACCCCTATCACTACCCCAACCCCTATCACTACCCCTATCACTACCCCAACCCCTATCACTACCCAACCCTTATCACTACCCCAACCCCTATCACTACCCCAACCCCTCATCCTCTCCGGCCTGTCCTCCCAACTGTCACCATAACTAAACCACCACTTTCAATAACAACAACAACCCCCACTCTTTATCTCAACCATCATCATGTTACGTACAATTTTTCAACTGCTGCAATTTTTCAGCTACTGCAATGCAAAGCAGTTGAAAAATGTCCTTGTTTTTCCGTGCGCGCATTAACCATTTCCCCACGAGTGTCAAATTGGGGTTAACTTTTCCACCTGCGCGTGTTGATTTTGTCTTCGGGAAGCTGCTTCTTATTCAGATTATGATTATTTTTATGTGAAACCCGGGTCAGTTCGCTTGATCGCGCGAAGTGATTAGAACGTCGTTGGTTAATTAGCACGTGATAATCGCGCCCATCTACTGAGTGAGCACTTCAGAATATTAACGCGAAATCCCCGATGGAAGCAGATTTGCATCAATAACAACAAAAAACATTCTAATAGTGTTTTTTTTTTATCAGAGTAAGTTGGGATAAGAAACTTAATTTCTCTGCGACAAGAGACAAAAGCAAGCAGGACAACAACATATTAATTTTCGAGATGGTCTCATGGCCATTGGCAGCCACGTTCACTAAGTTCATCATCATTATCAGTTATCAGTCATAATCTATCCACTGCTTGATGAACAATACATTTGCAACAAGTAAGGAATCCTGGAAACGGGCGTGCAAGGAGACCAATTTGATATATTAGAAGCTTTGTCTACTCGGTTATGACGGTCAAACAACAACCGCCATCCCCCACTCAGTGGCGGTGACGTCTCCACGGCGATTGTGCCAGGCTATGTGCACCTCGAGGCCACGTGAAGTGTCGAACGCATGCTGACAGGCCACGGGACAGACCCAGGTGCCATGGGTTGACAGACAGACTGAGAAGACCGGCTGATGCACCACCTGTGCCCCGTACAACCACCAAATGTGTCCCGTACAACCACCACCGGTGCCCCCTACGAACGGACAAACAGCACACCTTCTTGGTTATTTCGGTAAAGTCACGTAGAAGGGAAATAATAAAATAATAAAAATAAAACATTATAAAAAACAATTCTCACGACATTTCGGCCACAACGCAAGCAGCCGTCCTCAGGTGAAGAACAGGTCTGTCGGACGCTGTCTTTCCGACAGACCTGTTCTTCGCCTGAGGACGGCTGCTTGCGTTGTGGCCGAAATGTCGTGAGAATTGTATATTATGATGTTGTATTTTTATTATTTTATTATTTCCCTTCTACGTGACTTTACCGAAAGAACCAAGAAGATGAATCCCTGCAGTCACGAAAGCTTTAAATCGAAATTCAAACCGCACACCGTCACAGACGTCAGCCCTCGACAACGAGTCCTTATCCTCTCCCCCTGGTCTCATGTCAACATAACTACACCACCACCACTTTTAATAACAACAACCCCTCTCTTTATCTCAACCACTGGCGTCTGATGTACAATTGTATCATCGCTGTAAAGCGCTTAGAAATAGGGCGCTGCACAAATCAATTTAAGATAATAGATTGCAGGCTGATGCAACGTCGGATGTCGCGCGGGGCAAGATGTTATCTCCCTCGCCTGGTATACAGGAGGTCGTGAGTTCGATCTCGACCCTGACGCCTGCTGTATATTGGGAGTTTGCATCTCTCTCTCTCCCCGTGGATCGCGTGGATTTTTCTCTGGGTCCTCCGGGTTTTCCCTCCACATTTAAAATCAACATCGCGCGTTTAGATTATTTGAGCTGCTGTACATTTCCACATGATGATAACCCACTTCGTTGAGCTATCATTTTTCATAGATCCTTTGTCCTCGTATGTATGTAGAACTTCTTTGGCAGCGTACATAGCCAACCGTGCAATGGGTGGGTGGGGGTGAAGGACAACAAACACAAGAAGCAGCTTCTAAAGAACCGAGTTATCATCAATTCTAGATTTGAAGCTTTCGTGACTGCAAGGATTCATACTCTTAGTTCTTTCGGTAAAGTCACGTAGGTAAAAAATGAAATTTAAATTAATAAAAATAAATAAATATTTTATAATTTATAAATTTCGATTTAAAGCTTTCGTGACTGCAGGGATTCATCTTATTGGTTCTTTCGGTAAAGTCACGTAGATGGGAAGTAATAAAATAATAAAAATAATAAAATAATTAATAAGACAGCGTCCATTCAGACGCTGTCTCCCCGACAGACCTGGTTTTCACCTGAGGACGGCTGCTTGCGTTGTGGCCGAAACGTCGTGAGAATTATTTATTATGTTTTATTTTTATTATTTTATTACTTCCCTTCTACGTGACTTTACCGAAAGAACCAAGAAGATTTATACATGTATTAAAATAAAAATTTATTTTATTTTTTATTACTTTAAATTAAATTTTTACCTACGTGACTTTACCGAAAGAACTGAGAGTATGAGTTATCATCACTCGAGGCGAAGTTGTGCAACATCGCCCCACCCCCCCAGGTGTCTTCATATCCGTCGTCTTCCTTGTCGCGCGCGGCCAGGCACGTTCCGGCAGGTCCCGCAGGACGTGACGGCGCGCGAAGGCGAAGACGTGGAGATGTCGTGCGCTTTCCACGGCGGCGGAGCGCCCGCCTACTCGCTCGAGATCCAGTGGTGGTTCGTGAAGGGCGAGACGCGGGAGGCGGCCAGGGGAGTGGCTCTGGACGACGGAGGACCCCGCAGACAGGTCTGTCAACCGGCACCCCCTCTCTGTCCAAATGACGAAGATTCCCACCCCCCCCGCCCGTGTAGCCTTGATGTCGTGAGGCCAAGCGCTGTTCGCGAGGAGCACCTGATGGAGGCCGGCACCACGCCCGGTCGCCTTTGTCTCTCCCTAGTGGCGATGTTTAACACACACCGCACCAGGTACTCATTTGAGGCTGAGTCGACCTAGGGGTAGGCTCAGGACCGGTTCAAGCGATCGTACGCCGGTGTTGGCCGTGAGCGGGAATCGAACCCGTGTCGCTGGGTTCGTAGCGCAGCGCGCTAACCGTTGCGCTTCCGCTCCCCACAGACACACACAGACACAAAGATCCCCCGTGTAGCCTTAACAGACTGCTAGGGGCAAGTGCTGTTAGCGAGCACCTATGAAGGCCGGAACGGTACACGAGGGGGTGGGTGGCCAGCACCACGCCCGACCGCCTTTGTCTCCCTAGTGGCAATGTTTACACACCGCACCAGGTACTCATTTGAGGCTGAGTCGACCTAGGGGAGGCCCGGGACCGGTTCAGATAATCGTCACTGGTGTTGGCCGTGAGCGGGAATCGAACTCGTGTCGCCAGGTTCATAGCGCAGCGCGCTAACCGCTGCACTATCGCTCCCCACACAGACACACACACACAGACAGACACACACACAGACACACACACAGCCACACACACAGACACACACAGACACACACACACAGACACACACACACACAGACGCACACTGACACACACACACGCAGACACACAGACACACACGCAGACACATGCGCGCGCACCCGTTTTTCGATAAACCAAGCTTATTGTTGAAAAAAGGTGAAAGCGGGTGTCGTCGTCACACGTGCTGAAATCAGTTTGGGATGACCCCCCTTTTGCCTCTGTCGCAGATGGTGATGAAGGAAGAAGGCACAAAGATCAGTGTAAGTTGCTTCGCGAGCACCCCCCACACCGGCTGGCGTTCCTTCAGCGTCCACGTGCGAGTCGGTGACGCCGCTGCCTCGGCGCCTCTGAGCTTATGCGCACTCGTCTCCATGCGCGGATGCTTCAGTGCCGGACGAAGCTAGTGTGGAGCCTGTAGCATACGTTATAAAGGGGCCCTAAATTTTTTTAAAAATTAAAACCCTAATTTTTACTTGCATAGTAAGGTAATTGTATGCTTTCATTTTCTACACAGCCAGATAATACGACGAATTGCTAACCTTAAATACCCATATTATTGGTTCTTTCGGTAAAGTCACGTAGAAGGGAAATAATAAAATAATATAAATATAAAACAATAAAAATTCTCACGACGTTTCGACTGCAACACAAGCAATCATCGTCAGGTGTGATAATTTTTATTGTTTTATATTTATATTATTTTATTATTTCCCTTCTACGTGACTTTACCGAAAGAACCAAGAATATGAATCCCTGCAGTCACGAAAACTTTAAATCAAAACTTAAACACCCAGTCGTTCATAAAAGTTGAAGGCGGTATAGTACTATAGTAATTGAGCAAGTGCAGAATCACTGAACCGGAATTGATAGCTTGAAAGCATTTAGCGCGGGGCCCTTGAAAGTTCTGGGCCCGTAGCTACTACATATGTAGTAGCTACTACATATGAATAATCGGGCAGTGCGATGGTTATCGTCCGCAATGCAATGGTGGGGGGTGAAAACGTTACCTCGAGATGGCTTCGAGACGTCAGAGCACTGAGCCGGCAATAGCTGAGACCCTGGGCTCGAATCCGGGCAACCGTCTTGGGTTAGAGCCATTGTTAAGGTTAAAGGTTATGGTTAGCGTGAAGGCTAAGGTCTAAAGTGTATTATCCGGCTAGTGTTAGGACGAGATTAATAGTGTGAAGTACTTGTTACTGAAATGAGTATTAAAGGGGTGCTCAACTCCCCATTTACAGCTCCTGAACTCGTTGTGGAAATGCCATATTCATATGCGTGTCGGTATACTCAACTTCTTTCAGACCGTACCATGCTAATCGGAGGTGCGGGGGGAAGGGCAATGAATTATAGCTGTTGTTCGAGCCGGTATTGAGACTCGGGTCAGCGCGACAACTTAGGGCTAAGGACAATCATCGCTGGGCAGGTATGACATGGACCTCTGTGGCCGGTTCATCACCGGCAACCCACTCGGATCATCTACCTCTGAACCCCTCCCCCATGACCCCCGTGACCCCCACGCCGCAGGTGGTGAGGGTCCTCGGCAGCGACATCTCGAACCGCCTGCGCCTGACGTCGGTGCGTCGCGGCGACGAGGGCGCGTACGAGTGCCGCGTCACGGACTACCGCCCGCGACCACCGCAGGAGCACACGGCCCGCGCCTGGCTGCGCGTCACGCCACGGCCCGAGGACATGCAGGCCGCTCAGGCCCAGCCCATCGTCCGCAACGACACCTCCTCATCCTCCTCGTCGTCCGCCTCCTCCTCCTCGTCGTCGTCCACATCCTCGTCCGCACGCAAAGCCGCAAAGGAGGAGGCCGAGAAGAAAGGAGAGGAGGAAGAGGAGCAGAAGAAGAAGAAGAAGCAGCGGGCGGCCGGTGCTGGTAGGTGGGGCGGCACGGGCATCGCGACGATCGCGGCGTCCCATCGCGACGAGACGGAGTGTCGCGATCGGAGGTGGCGATCGAAGTGTCTTGATCAGAGGTCGCGATCGGAGGTCGCGATCGGAGGTCGCGATCGGAGGTCGCGATCGGAGGTCGCGATCGGAGTCTCGCGATCGGAGGTCGTGATCGACTTTTAGGAATTGTGCCTTCGTGGGACGCCGATGAAATAGAGCCTAACGGACTCATTGGCTCCTTCCTGCTGAAACAAATAAATAAAATCGATCGATTATTTTAATTTTTCCCATCTCATTTTAACATGTCGTTTGTCTTTAATTTTCGCCGTTTTCATTTCGCGTGGATCCTGAACGATCAATTCTCGCGCGCACGATTCCACGCACGCGTCGCGAGTGCAAGAATCGATTTGAGTTGATGCTGCTTTACGTGCCTAAGTAGCTATCTTGTGTTTCACCATCGTCAACTTCATCATCATCATCGTCACTATTATTTATAGAGCGCCTCCCATGCAGCACATCTCGAGGTGCCAAAACAAAAGTCGATTTGAGATCATTACTGGGTAAGGAGCAATGCAGAGCAGACCACATGCACGATATGTGTATGGTCTGATTAGCTTGTTGGCGCAAAGGCGGTGTTCTGGAATATTTGGCGGAAAGCGGCAAATTCGGCTGCGAGTATTTTTTTGCTTTCATCGGTTTTTGTTCACCCAGAATTGATAGAAAAAAAAGAGCGGAACCATTCACCCGCCCCCTCATCCCTCCCTGCAGATGCAATTAAATGTCCATCATGAGGTTGACAACTTAATTCAAGAATAGTTATATTTTTTTGGAAATTGTGGTGAATGGTAGCACGTCCAGTAACTACAGTGGTGACGTGAACCCATTACATGCAAAGTAAATGGCATAGACAAAAATGTTGAATTTTTACACGCATAATTTAATGCATGTATCATGAGCTTAAAAATCAATATTCATTTGTGAATCAATGATTGTTTCTCCTCTAGCTTCCACCATCGTATCACTTGAATCGGGCTCCTGGGTTTTAAACAAAAATGACAATCCGATCCGAGTTGTGGTCTTCCGGCTTAGGCCACGTGTTGGGCATTTCTTTCGCCATGCACTCCGGCAGGCGTCCGCGGTAGTGCACGGCTTGCGCTGAGCGCTGTTCGGCGCGTCCTGGGAGCATCTTCGTGAATTCAGTTCCTCGAGCAGCATCCCCGCCCCGTAGAGCGAAACGTCGGACACCGTGCCGAACCTAAAGCACTACGGCCTGAAAACGCATCAGAGAGCAGGACAAACAGCACAACCGCGCAAGTCTACGCAGCAGCAGATTGGATTCCTCAAGGTGTCCACAACACGCATATTTGGATTACGAGTGGCTCCCAAAACAATATAAATGTTGAAGTTTAAAAAAAAACACCAACTTGCAATTCACTGGATCACAGTAATATTTACACCCAAGCCCCCCTGGGTGGAGGAGTTTCTGTGTCTCAGCAGACTCTTACCTGGCCCATAAACAAACATCATCATTCATTCTCACTTTCGCAGGATCTCCCTTTGCATTACTCCGACTGAATAAATCACTCCGTGGTGCGGGTGGGTGAGCCCGTGTTTATCAATTCACCGAGACAAATGGTGTTCGTGCGCGCGGGGCAGAGCGATGTGTTATTCGGCCAAAATGTATCGTGTGGATCCCACCCCCTCCTTTCGCGGAATGTTAAGTCAGCAAAACATTACAGACAAAAAAGTGGACATGAGCCCTCTCCGATCAATATTCACTGCATCTGCATTGCGGTCGTTGTCAGCTATTAATGGCGGAGTTGTGTTTGTCTTTGCAACACTGGCCTCGAGATTGATTACACGTTCACGGCTCGCTGTTCTAGCAGTTGCCCCCCCCCTCTTCATTTTTTTTTGTTGACAGTGTCTGAAATGGAAGGTGAGGATGGGATTTATGGAGCTCGTTTCAGAGGCTGCTCATCCGCAAGTTGGCGCTGGAGTCGTCAGGGGACCGTCGCACGCGATGTGCGCTGGAGCGGCGGCGCGTTTGCCGCTGCTCGCGGAAACTTGCGGTTCAAACCCAGCGGCCACCCCCGGTTAATACCGCGGGCGTGTGAACCGTTAAATACGAATGCACCGTCTGCTTCAGCGCGAACATCAAAGATCCCGTAGTGTTATTTGAAAACGAGCAGGCCGCGTGTTTTTTGCCGGTGTAACGGTCCAATTTTTATCCAAATTAGCAAATTACTAATTTATTACACGCTTGGGTAAAGCCACGTAGCGACATCGCCCCCTGCTGAAAGAAACCACTGAAGACAACCGACAGCGACGTATCGCATCCTCATGCGCCCCGTAGCGTAACGAGCGTCTCAGACGGCAGAGTTACGCACGACTAACGGGATGCGAACGGGAGGGAAATGGAAAGGAAGGGAACGATGGTGACGACGTGATGAGCAGGGCATTGAACCGTTTGGCTTTGCCGACGCGGTTCGGGTGTGTGCACGGAAGCCCGCTTGAACCGGTTGTATATTCTCGCAATAAATATTGCATAGCATTCATTAAATTAAATTTAGTACCATTTTTATGTTCGTGTAGAAACCTGCAATTAACTCCAAAGCTAACCTCTTTAACATCTCAATGTAGTGTTCAATGCAGCATTGAGCAGTTGCACATATCTTGCATTTATCTGTCCGTGTGAGTGTGTCTATGTGAGTATGTATGTTTAACCCATTTACAGCTGGGTATGTCCCCTAACAGGTTCCAGGTTAGTCATCTTACGACACTTCACGTGGCCTCAAAGTGCACCTAGCCTGGCACAAGTGCAGCTAGCCTGACAATTCACCACATGACTGAGAAAGCATATTCACTGTGCCCTGGACAATCTGTGAAAAAGAGCTTTATAGCTCATCGGATTCCTCCAGTGTCAATAAGTATTCCGATTCTCAAAATTGGCTTCAAGATTGCAGCATCTAAAAAAAAATCGGGGTTCTGTTTTTGCTTCTAAAAAAAAAGACCAGTTAAATCCGGTTCTTTGCACCGGTTTTCATTTTCTTCGTGTTCCATTCCCCAGACTTACACGCATCGGGCGAATGTGCTCATAATTTGACGTGGCAGCTCCCGCTGCTGTGCTCTGTTCATGGATTCACTTCGCTCAGCTGCCTGCGCTTTTGTCTCCCTTGCGTCTTCGTGTCCGTAGGCACAAAGACGATGGCCGGCCACCTCCTGCCGTGGATCTTCCTGGCTGCTCAGCTTCTGTGCGCCGTTAACCCCGCGCGCTAGACCGACGCGACAACGCGGCGTGCGCAGCGGCGCGCGTGCCAACGTGGGCGGGGCGCGTGGGTAACTTAAACCAGATATGTAATGTGTATATACACAGTGGCGTGTACATATAGTCGAACAAATGATGCATTTATTTACGAAGGAGCGACTTTGTGCGGGTTGGCAGACGTTCAACATACTTACCACGCGTGCTTGTTGATCTTTTTATATATATAATGTATACACGATCTGGAAAACACCAGAGGTAACGATAAGGGGACGTGTTAGCGCGTAATAGTGAATGTTAGGAAACGTCGTAGTGTAAAAAGTGCAAGCGTAGGGATTTCCTGGTTAGGCAGCATCTTAGAGACACAAACACAGTCACCGCCTGTGCTCCCTGGGCCTGGATCAGCGTGGCCCTTGGGACACCCACCCACCACGGCTGTCACAAGTGGTCACCTGCCTTGGCTTCATTACCTCAATAAGGGATATTGTTTTTTTTGCATTCCTCTGCTGCTCCGGAACCTACCGCTTAATGGATTCGAGCCAATTTGGCTTGCAGAGGAGAGGGTCATTGGCAGACACATTGTCACCTGCCCCGCAGAGAAACAAAATATTTTCCTCCATCAATTCTGCCGCTGAGGTTGCGGGAAGGAAAAGATAATTGGAGGGCATTTTTTTTACGGCGCTTTGTTACGCCGGGATCGGAGAGCTTGCACCGGCACTGCTAGGCCCCGGAGTTAAACTGTCAGGTGCGCGGAGAGGTAAGCAGTGGGAATGGTACCCACGTGGGAAAGCCGGTGATGGATCACTTGAGCTTTTTTACAGATCCGAACTCAGTCTTTGCGGACACCCCTGGTCAACGGTAGCGCGGGCACGGCCACAACGGTGCGTCCTAAGGGCCGCGCGGTGGTGTCAGCTCAGCAGTGTCGGAATTTTTTGTTGCATTAAACGAGAGAGCGATCGACAGGAGGTGACAACAACCATGAGCGAAACACGAGTGGACAGCCTCAGCTTGTTATTCAATGGCGCCGTTCTAATTTAATTTCATGATTCATTCAGAAAAAAATGAGGAGCATCTCAAAATGAATGGATGCTGCCGCGGTGTAATGATTATCACGCTAGCCTTGCGGATCCACGGGTCACCGGTTTGATCTCTGAGCACGGCAGTTGAAACAATGATGCAGTTTTCTTAAATACCGCCCGTCTCTCTCCGCCCAGCAGTATAATTGGGGAAACCGCTTAGTGGGTGGGCTGGGTGTGCGTGGTAACGGGGCTACTCCTACCTCTTCCAAGATGAATGTCCATGGAAGAATGGGACAAATACACTCCCTAGAGAGGCTCCATGTACGTACGTACGTTGAACTTCTTTCACACCTTACATAGCCAATCGCGCTAATCAGAGGTGCAGGAGGATGGACAACAATCTGAACACAAAAAGCAGTTTTAAATAAATGAGTTTTCAATCTTGATTTAAAAGTGCATAGCTCCAGTGGCTTCCTAATATGGGGATGAAGAGCGTTCCAGACGGCCGCAGAAACGCATCTGAACGCATGCGCGATGCAGTGACCGTCTTTGTTCGATGGCCAGCCCTCAATAGTAACTCCCTCGTGTTGGAGGCCCTATATGCCAGCGGTAGAGTGAGTAGACAATTGCAGGGCTGCACCCTATGCCACTCTTACTCCTGAAGATCGATGTGAATGTTATTAAGGAATGCATTTATGACATATTTATTTCGGTCGGATTTCATTTTTTTTTGTAAATTCTTGAGTCGGTTCTTGGGATTAACGGTGGCACCGCGAGCTGACAAGGATGGAGAGAGAGAGTGAGTGATGCGGTTGTCTGACCACGCTCGTCGCTGCGAAGAGCCCCACGGCATCGTGTGTGATCTTGAATGTGTTTTTTTGTTGATGTGCACAACAATGCTTGCGCTCATACTGTACACTACACAACTGTAGATAAGAATCACTGACAATTCAATAACGTATAATAGTTATTAAACGACTAGTAACATGTTTGCAGCGTATGCAGTGTACACGGTAAGACGTTTTACCTGGATGAACAGTAAATTCTCACCAATTTAATTTGGGTCACTGCGATTGAATCCGTTGCAATGTAAAAGCTCCACGACTGCGTTTGCTTTTGGGATATTTTTGTGTTCTGTGTTTTGAAATCGGGTTTTACTTTCTTCCTGTTACGTCATCTTATTTACTGGGTTTCCAGATCTCCATTTACATATATGTGCCATTTATAAATGTGCCATTAATTTATAGAATGCATAAAAAAACGTAAATGGTATTCCAAAAAACGTAAAACCTACTCCATATCATTTTTTGCACATGATGTATGTTGGGCAGCATACATTTACATTTTTAAACGAATCACACGTGACGGATTGTATGTCTCGGTTGCAGCCGGGCCTCGCTCAGATCTCGGGCTGGGCTTTTCCCTCCAAATTTAGAATCAACGTGCGTTTAGATTATTTTGAGTATTTGTCTACTATAAATGCCCACACGATAAGCCACTTCGTTGAGTTATTATTTGTGGCCAGGCCGCCTATTAAAAAGAAGCTAATAGCTCAGTGGGCTTTACCTTGTTAAAATAAAAATAGTTAATTAATTATTTACTTACCTTTCCTATACTTTGCACTCCTTTCGTGTTTGTATATTGGTTGTTGTTGTTGTAACTTTCTGACCCCGTGCCCCTACTGGACATTTGTGAAAAATAGATTTTTAGCTCATCGCATTCCTCCAATAGAAATAAAGATTCTGATTCTGTAAAACAATTAATTGATCACAGCACACGTCAGTTACGGCCGTTTCAGAAAAACACATTTTTGTTGGTAAACTGTGGTGTCATCTGGTCCAACACCACATGAGACTAGGCTCTAAGGAAAGCTGTCTCGGGTGTGGACCAATCAATTTCAAGGACAATGCATAACATTAATGCATACATTATCAGAGTTATGTTTTTTGTTTGCATTCCGACTGCAGGTATTGTGGTCAATGCAAACATGACTCTTTGTAAAAAAAGGTGTCAGTTTTGTTGCCAGATAAAAGGGTAAAAAAACAATTATCAAACCGTAATTTATTAGACTTATATGAATGCATTTTGATTCAAATAATGATTTTAAAAAATTATTGTCACAATGACTTGTTTTGAAAGTGCACCCTACATGTCCCGGGGCGTTTCAGAGTTGCTTTACAAACGACAAGCAACTTACATCCCATCTCATCTCAACGCATTTTAAAGGGCACTTCCAGTGGCAGCTTGCCCTTCCTGGACATGATGTGACTCTGCACCTGTTTCTGCGAGTGAGGGGGCATTAGTCCGTCAACAGGCGGGCGATGATTGCTACGAGTTGTAGCAATTTAGTTTATTGTCTCCCGATGTGATTATTTGGATTGTACCGCGTGTTTTTTTTCCCTGCACAAAGTTCCGACGTTTCGCTCCACGCGCTGGACGCTTCTTCAGGAACTGATTTGGCGTTGCACTGAAGAAACGCGCGCACAGAGCGTAATCTAGTTCCTGAAGAAGACTCTTGGCACGTATAAACGGTGGCAAGATGTTAACTACCTCGTCTAGTATACAGTAGGCATGGGTTCGATCCCGACCTTGACGCCTGTATATTGGGAGTTTGCATGTTCTCCCCGTAGTCGCGTGGATTTTCTCCAGGTCTTCCGGGTTTTCTCTCCACATTTACAATCAATATCATGCGTTTAAGAGTATTTGGCTGCTATAAATTCCCAGGTGACAAGCCACTTTGTTGAGTTGTCATTTGTGGCCAGGTCGCTTCTGAAAAGGAGCTAAGTAGCTCAGTGGGCCTTACCTGGTGAAATCAAAAATAGTTTTTTTTTTCGATTTAAAGCTTTCGTGACTGCAGGGATTCATCTTCTTGGTTCTTTCGGTAAAGTCACAGAGAAGGGAAGTAATACAATAATAAAAATAAAACATAATAAAATAATTCTCACGACGTTTCGGCCACAACGCAAGCAGCCGTCCTCAGGTGAAACCAGGTCTGTCGAGGCAGCGTCTGAATTTACCAAAAGAACCAAGAAGATAGTTTTTTTTTGTAAATCGTGCCGAATAACACGCTGTACAACCCAAAACACGTTGCAGAGCTCGACAACACAACCATAAAACAAAAGGAGCGAGTTATTCCTATTCATATTGGAAACCCAGTGAATGACAATACAGTACTGTTGTCAGTGGTACATTTCACATTGTTGCTAGGGTTGGCTTATTTGATAACATCTTTGACTTGCATCGCAGCATCCAAAGGCTTCTTCGAGTGTGGTTGTTTTCTTTATGTCTTCACCGTGTGAGATTACAAACAGTATTTAAAATGCACAAACTTGCGCATTTTGTACAGGTCGTTCGTTGTGCGCGCTTGCAATAAAATTTCCATAAAACATCAACCCTCCCTCCTCGGCTCTGTCAAATGTGATGAATTACAATCAAGATTCTCCAGTTGCTACTGAGACTATTTGTAATTAACATTGTGAACATCCCCGTCACCTATGAAGATTGCAATAGCCTTTAATGCTCAATACTCATGTAGCTACAAAATAATGCAGCTTCGTAAGTCACAAATACTGCCAATTTCCTAAAGCTTATTGCCAAAATGTGTGAATTATGAGTAGGGCTTAATTCCCTCGGAATATTTTCCTGGTTTGTATACTGGAGTTTGAAATATGGACCAGTAGTTGCATGGGTCACCCGACCGAGGCAGACATGACTCTAAAAAATGTATGAGAAATGTTCAATCCCCTGCTGAATGAAGACCTCCCCAAGCCATCGTTTCCCACCAGTTCTACTTGATGGAGCACATGGTGGTGGGAAGTCAGTGGATTTTCTGGATGTAAAAATATGTAATTTATACCATTAGCGTAAGAACCCCAGTGATGAATGAGCCCACAACAATGCTCATTGAAACGTGTGGACAATCTGACTTGTACTCAACCGCACAGCACCGTTTTTGTTTTGCTCATTTATATTTGGGGGTGGAGTGGTGGCACAGTGGTGAGTGCACTGCACTGCAAACCTCGTGTCCTGAACTTTGACGGCTAACATCAGTGGCGGAGTCACATCTCAACCGGTCCTGGGTTCCACTCCCCCCCTCCCTTCACCAACCCGCGCTGAGCAGCGTGGTGAAGTATGGTCAAACAAACCCCATGACTAACACGGCTAAGGAAGACTTGTTGTTATCACAGTGCATTCATAAAGCACTGTAAATCAAACATCAAATAAAAGCACGTATTTTGCTGCACAAGCCTTTGACAACCTGCCATGCATAGGTGGTCACCCATCCAAGCGCTTATCCAGGCTCACATCCCTGCTTCGCTTCCGGGCGGTGACATGGCCTAGGTGCACGGTTCGAATTCCAGCAGTCCGCACTGATTAATGCTGCGGAATAATAACCATGAATGCCACGTGCTGTGCGCTTCACCCACAGCAGACGTTAAATATCTCGCGAGTGCATTCGCGAGAATAGACCCATTGTGTGCCGGCCTCATGGCCCAAATTTGAAGAAATGTTCTTAGGTTTTTTTCGGTAAAGTCACGTAGGTAAAAAATTAAAAATTAATAAAAGTAAAATAAAAATAAAATAAAAAATCACGACGTTTCGGAGGCAACACAAGCTTCCTTGATACAGCTATCGTGCTGTGACGGTTCCACCTGAAGACGGAAGCTTGTGTTGCCTCCGAAACGTCGTGATTTTTATTTAATTTTTGTTTTACTTTTATTCATTTAATGTTTTACCTACGTGACTTTACCGAAAAAACCTAAGAATATGAATCCTTGCAGTCACGAAAGCTTCAAATATAGAATTGAATTTTTTTTATTTAACTTGGCAGAAAGCTCCTTAAAAAGGGGGGAAATTAGACTCAGTGTTACTTTCCTGGGCACAAGGTGCATTCTAAACTGACACTGATGTCATTCCTTTCGTGTGGCCCGGTGCGTGGCTGCAATCACCAAACCACGCCTCCTCTGCAGTGGGCGGGGCTTGTGCAATCAGACCACGCCTCCTTTTTTACAACGGGCGTGGTGAGTGGGCGTGGGGGCTTAATATTCTTAGGTTTTTTCTGTAAAGTCACGTAGGTAAAAACATTGGGTGGGGAGGGGCTGGGTGGGGAGGGTTGGGCTGGGTGGGGAGGGTGGGGCTGGGTGGGGAGGGGAAGGTGGGGTCGTGGGGAGGGGAGGGGCTGGGTGGGGAGGGTGGGGGGCTGGGTGGGGAGGGGCTGGGTGGGGAGAGTGGGGTGGGGCTGGGTGGGGGGGTGGGGCTAGGTGGGGGTGTGAGGTGTGGGGCTGGGTGGGGTGGGGCTGGGTGGGGGGGTGGGGATAGGTGGGGGGTGGGAGGGGTGGGGCTGGGTGGGGAGGGAGGGGAAGGTGGGGGGGGGCTGGGTGGGGAGGGGCTGGGTGGGGAGAGTGGGGTGGGGCTGGGTGGGGGGGCCTAGGTGGGGGGTGGGAGGGGTGGGGCTGGGTGGGGAGGGGCTGGTCACCCCGTGGTGCCCTTATAAAACTCAACGTTTAACCTACTCACGCCGGCTTGTGCCCGCTCTCACAGTCGGCCATATTTGCAGAATACACCACGCCGCCGTTGACCCTGGCCATTGACCGAGCTACCCAACGTTCCTACCAGCTCCCTCCGCAGGAATGTGTTTCCTATACTCGCTTAACGACCAAATCGCTTAACGACCGGTTTAGTGGAACCAATTACCATCTCTAAGAGGAGTGCTACTGGTAATGGGGGAATCCGATGAGCAATAAAGCTATTTTATCGCGCTACGACCCTGCTCGGCAGTTGGCTGTGAGTAGGCGTGGCTCATTCTTGATTTGCAGGGATCCATACTCTTTGGTTCTTTCGGTAAAGTCACGTAGGTATAAAATACTATTAAATCACGACGTTTCGGGCGCAACACAAGCGCCCACTTCAGCAGTTGTTTCTTGCTGTGGTTGTCCCACACCTGTTTTGCGCCCGAAACGTCGTGATTTAATTTATTGTATTTTATACCCACGTGACTTTACCGCAAGAACCAAAGAGTAGCTCGTGCAATCAAGCCGAGCCCTCGGACATTACATTAGGCGGTCACGTTCCTGGGAACCCCAGTCGTAAATCGGACCCTGCTTACCCATAGACATTAGAAATAGTTAAAAACATCACTTGCCTATGTTTTATTATTATTATTTTTATCAGCAATATTTAACAGGGGCTTTAGAGGTCAAAAAAAAATTCCACCAATACACACCTGAGAATAACACCACCACCACAACCACCCACACCAAATCACATCTGAAACCAAACTCAACCTTTTTTTTTCAAATTTTCTTACTGTGGATTTCACACCTGATGATGATTGCTTGTGTTGCAGTCGAAACGTCGTGAGAATTTTTATTGTTATATTATTACATTATTTTATTATTTCCCTTCTACGTGACTTTACCGCAAGAACCAAGAATACAGACTCACTGTTCAAACGCGTTCCGAATTTGTTTTATTTTGCTGTCTTTTCTTGGATTTTCTGTTTGCACTTAGTCACATATTCACTTTAAGATGTTTTTCTTCATGTTTTTGCTTTTTGTTTGTTGCGGTTGCACCCGATTCAAGAGCCGAATGGCTCACATGGCTATACCTAATACATGAACTTGAATGAACTTGATTTCGAGTCAGCTGCGTCGTAAATCGAGTCCGCGGTGGGAAGCCCTCCGTCGTAAACCGGAGCCCCTCGTGTGGGCGTGTCACTTAGCCGTGTAGGCCCCGCCCCGCCGTTGTTTTGTTTCCGGCTCGCGTGACGTCACTGCCGGTGTCCCTCGTGAGCCCAGAGACGTCGGTGGCTGAGGTGGTTGAGGTGGTGGTGGTGAGGCTCCGGTGAAGCCGAACGTGCTCGTCCTTGTCCACCCTCGTCTCGTTATCATCATCATCGTCGTCGTCACCCAACCCGCCCGACCTCGTCCCTTGGTCGCCCACCCGTGAGTGACTTTGCTGCCGTGCGCCCGATCGCGGTCGTCACGCTGTGACGGGGCCTACCTCGGGCGGGCTTTTGACACCCGCAAAGCCACAGCGCCGACCTGCCTGGCTCGCACGTCTTGACGAGGCTCGCGATGATATCTTTATATAAAGCGGCGGCAATGATTGGAATCGACGGTGATTATTGCGGGACGAGGTGTTGCTTGTGTTAACGAGACGCAGCAGCAGCAGCAGTAGTAGCTGCCCGCGACTTGGGGCAACGATGGTGGTGGTGGTTGTTGTTGTTGTTACCGGGCCCAGGTTACAACTCGCGTCTCCGTATCTCCCTCTCGCTATCGCTTTGCGTGTCGCTGTGTGTACCTATGTTAGTGATTCACTCTTGCTGCTATGTCTCTCTCGCTACGTGCGTCTTTGATGTGTCTCTGCGTTGCCTTCGTGTTCCGCTGTGGCTCTCAGTGTCGTTTTGCGTCCGTCTCTTTGCGTTGCCTGTCACCGTGTTCTCTTGACGTGTCTGGCTCTATTACTGTGTAATTCTATATCTTTCTCGATATCGCTTCGGCAATTTGTCTTTCGCACTCTGACTTTGTCTCCTGTGGCTTTCGATGCCTGCCTCTGTTTCAGAGGCAGATCACTGTTTCATTGCTTTTATGGCTTTATTTTGGTGATTTTCGAAAAGTTGTTTGGTTTGGCCATGTTTGTTTGTTGTAGTACAGAGTTAGACTGATGGCCTTAATCTAAGTTGTCTTGTGGTTGTTGTTTGACTTGCATCCCACTGGGATTTTTGCACACAGTGTTGGTGTACGGTGCTTTTTCTGCAATATTTTGCTGTCTTTTCTTGGATTTTCTGTTTGCACTCAGTCACTTTAAGATGTTTTCTTGTTCATGTTTTTGTTTTTTGTTTGTTGCGGTTGCACCCGATTCAAGAGCCGAATGGCTCACAGGGCTATACCTAATAAATGAAACTTGAACTCTCTGTGTGTGTGCGTCTCTTTTTCCATGTGTCGGTGTCAATGTCGTTCTCGGTTTCTTTCCTTGTTCTATCTTGTTGCCACTGCATTTCCCATGTCCCGGTGTTCATTTTCCGTCCCGTCTGTGTCTCTGTGAGACTTCGTGCCCGGAGTCTCTACGTCTGCCTCTGTCTCGCGAAGTCTTCTGCATCATCTTCGTGTTTGTCTCTTTCAGTGAGTGTCTCCACGTGGTATCCCTTGCTACCTTTACGCATGGTGTGGTGGAGTGTTGATACAGCGCTTACCCTGGAGCCCCCAATAACTTCTCATTTGAATTGCGGGAGCTGAGGCGTATGCATTTATCTGCGGATGTTGTAGCATTCTTACCCGCCCCTACTGGACATGTGAAAAATAGCTTCATAGCTCATCGGATTCCTCTAGTATAAATACATATTCTGGATGTCCTCATGTCGAATAGCTAAGATAGCTGATGAAGT